CCTGGAGGACATAGTACTGATGGTTTTTCTGATGTGTAATGAATAAAATACACAGAGTGTTGGAGACGTCCCCCAGGCCACTGAAACAGGAAGGCCTATGTCCACCCCTCCCTCTCCTCCCCAGTGTAGCAGACATTGGCGCTAACACATACATTTTATAACTAACAACACCCATCCAAGTGTGCAGCCATAACAATGCATCAGCCAAATGAAATCAAATATAATTGGATGCACTGCCTTTGTCCTCTGAAGCGTAAAGGTTCCTATCGAAGACAAGTCAACAAACAATATGCGAACAATAATACATACAATGACCCAAAGTAAACATATGAACACACACCCAGTCGAAAACAAAAGAAAAAAAAGTCTTGTGAAGAATTGTTTGGATTATATTTTTTGAGCATTAAGCTTCAAAAGCTTCCTGCTCTTTGATACTAAAATGTAATTATCGCTTGAAGCCCCTTCTTTCTTTCTTTCTTTCTTTCTTTCTTTCTTTCTTTCTTTCTTTCTTTCTTTCTTTCTTTCTTTCTTTCTTTCTTTCTTTCTTTCTTTCTTTCTTTCTTTCTTTCTTTCTTTCTTTCTTTCTTTCTTTCTTTCTTTCAAGGGCTGTGAGAGAGACAGACTCAGATGTGTGTTTCATGTGTTTTCTTCATGTACTGACACTTCAATTACGAAGAAACTTTGTGTAAAACCTCAAACACCTGAGCGCCTGCTCCATTCAAACAAAGCTGACTTTTCTTTTCACAGCCTGGAAACACTTTGATATCCATCATCGCTCTTAAACCCAAGATGTGACTCAAACTACATTCGTGTGATAACACCCCATCCCATTTTTAACTTTAGAAAAGTCCTTAAATCGTGTTTTCATCTGTGAGTCATCAGAGCTGTGATGTAGACCCAGTTTAAATCAAAGAGATATTTCCCCCTTTTGAACACAAGGAAGTGTGGAAAGTTGTCATTTTAAAGGGGACCTATTCTGCAAAATTCATTTTTAAAATGTTTTTTTACTCAACTTAGGGTATGTACTTCTTAAAAAAACAGTCCTAGGACCAAAACAAATGCACCCAGGGGCATATTTACTGTAAGTAAATGTATTTTTAAAGGAGACCAATTATGGGTCCTAGAAATGTTTATGGTATGTCTGTGGACTATCCAGACCATCTTCATTCAATTTAATGCACAAAATAATTCTCAGATGATAAAATTTCCCATTTTCTAGTTCTGCCTGCTCTGACTTCTGTTCAGAAGAGCTGTTTATGTTAATGAGCTCTGTTGGTAACGCCCTCCAAAAATCTGTTGACATTAACTCCACCCTCCAAAGCCAGCATTTACGTTAGCATGGCTAATAATAGCAGAAGCTCRGTTGTACAACCATATGAGACCCAGAGGCAGAGTCGTGGTCACAGCTTCTTTTTTTCCTCCCTCTCCTCTGCTCTGCGCTCACTCTGCATGCTGTTACCAGAGCAGGGAGCAGCAGCGGTCAAAATACCTCAGAAACTCCAACAAATAGGCTTTAGTAAGCTAAACAGTAGAGGTACATGTCTCAAACCCTAATCTCCCATTCTCTGGTCCAACACTCTCACCATTGCCCTGTTGGAGGCTTGTTGTGAAATGAGCTGCGCATTGTACAACAACAACCGTGACGGCTTTTTATACTGAGGAGGAGGAGCTTCACCCAGGGGTTACTAGATAAGGGGCTGAACGCAGGTTCCGGTGGGTTGTTGTACGGCTTGTGACATCACAAAATGATGGAAGTATAAAACTTGTTGTTAATATACATTAAAAATACATTTACTTACAGTAAATATGCCCCTGGGTGCATTTTTTTGGTCCTAGGACTGTTTTTTAAGAAGTACATACCCAAAGTTGAGTAAGAAAAACTTTTAAAAAGTGTATTTTGCATAATAGGTCCCCTTTAATGTATATTAAGGACAAGTTTTATACTTCCGTTATTTTGTGATGTCACAAGCCGTACGACAACCCACCGGAACCTGCGTTCAGCCACTTACCAAGCAACCCCCAGGTGAGACTCCACCTCCTCAGTATAAAAAGCCGCCACGGTTGTTGTTGTGTAATGTGCAGCTCATTTCACAACAAGCCTCCAACAGGGCAATGGGTAGAGTGTTGGACCAGAGAGTGGGAGACCAGGGTTCAAGACCGGCATGGATGTTATTTATTTATTTTCGCTATTGTTTAGCTTATTAAAGCCTTATTAAAGCCTATTTGATCAAGTTTCTGAGGTATTTTGACCACTGCTGCTCCCTGCTCTGGTAGCATGCAGAGTGAGCGCAGAGCAGAGGAGGGAGAGGAAAAAAGAAGCTGGGGCCACGACTCTGRCTCTGGGTCTCATATGGTTGTACAACGGAGCTTCTGCTATTATTAGCCATGCTAACGTAAACGCTGGCTTTGGAGGGCGGAGTTAATGTCAACAGATTTTTGGAGGGCGTTACCAACAGAGCTCATTAACATAAACAGCTCTTCTGAACAGAAGTCAGAGCAGGCAGAACTAGAAAATGGGAAATTTTATTATCTGACAATTATTTTGTGCATTAAATTGAATGAACATGGTCTGGATAGCCCACAAACGTACCATAAAAATCTCTAGGACCCATAATTGGTCTCCTTTAAAGCAGATGTATTTTGGTTTTTGAAACCTAATTTAAAACAATGAAGCATAGGGTTATCAAAAATATTGTTGTTTTTTTCTGTTTGTTTTTCAAGCTTTCAGAACTTGTTAAAATCTTGATAACTGAATATTATTACCTCTCACTCTGTGGTGTTACGAACAATGGGCCTCATGCAAGAACCGTTCGTACGCACAGATTTGTTCTTAAGTTGGGCGTACGAGTGATTTAGGAGAATTTTTGGCATTCACCAATGTTTTCGTATTCTAAGATTTTTTTCAGATACGAAAAAAATTCACGTGTGGTCCAGACCTGTCGTATATTTTACCAGCAGTCAGTCTGCTGTTAT